GAGCACAGCTTGGGCAGGAGCCACGCTTCAGTGGGTCTTAAGAAGCCCTGGTCTGGGCCCCCTGAAAACCCGGACGGATAGGGCTGAAGAAGAATGCAAGCACAGAGACCCCTGCGAAGGTTCAAGGCCCTGAAACAAACACGGATTCGGGGAACGGGTGTAGGACTGTGGTCTCAGCCCAGGCAGCCAGCGCATCTCCCTCCGCAGCGATGGGTCCTTGCAGGGCAAGCGAGCAAACTCGGGCAGTCAGGCCTCATTATTTTCTTTTTAATTATTTTTAATTGGAGTTTGATTTGCCAACATATAGTATAACACCCAGTGCTCATCCCGTCAAGTGCCCCCCTCAGTGCCCGTCACCCAGTCACCCCAACTCCCCGCCCACCTCCCCTTCCACTACCCTTCATTATTCACAGATTCCACAGTTAGGACTTCGCCTTCTCTCTGAGCTGTTTTCACAACCTCCAGCCAGTACTCGCCTCGTCTGTGTGGTTTGTGGACACGCCGAGCAGCGGAATGCAAGCCTCCTGACACACCCGCTCCCGGCTGAGGTCCAGTGAGGCAAGCCCCTGCCTCCTTGTCCGGGCTCAGGCTGCACACAAGTGTCCTCCTCGTGGTCGATTTACTACCATGATTGGTTGATTGATTGATTGATTGATTGATTCTTCTTTCTTTCTTTCTTTTCTTTCTTTCTTTTTTTTTTTTTGCACTTCTTGGCGCTTTTGGTTGGTGATTTTGTTGAGGATGGCCCCAGGCTTCATGCCGTGTGCCATGCCGTGTTCCTAAGTGACCCAAGGGTCAGTTTCATTCTGGGTGAGCCAAGTAAGCCATGACATTGAGCAGTCAAGTGGTCAAGAGTAAAGATAATGGAACCAGAGTGTCTGGATTCAAAATTCAAACCCTGCTTTTGCCACCTGGCCTGGAGACCTGATGCAGTTAAGAAACCAGTGCTTTGTTTTCTGTTAATTAAATGGACATGATACCACCTACATCTTCAGGTTTCAGATGGGGACCAGGACCTGCTACATAATAAATTCTCAAAAATGTTACTACTGTGAGGAGGAGGAGGAGGAGGATTACTGAAGGATTACTCCAGATTTCTCTTCTGGCACCATTTCTCTCTCTTGACCACCATGGGACTCTGCTCTTCCCCGACCTTCCCTGTCCTTCGCTCACAGTGATGATGGCAGTGAATTACACCAGGGGACATTGGAACCTCCAATTCACCGCTGAGGATGCTAATGCAGTGGAAGGGACGTGTCAGGCCAAAACCGAGAGCACAGTGGTTTCCAATCAGGGCGCATGGTGGAGGACGGCATTGCCCCAGGGAACATTTGGAGACATCTGGAGACAGTTTGAGGTTGTCACTGTGGGGGACTTGGGGGAGTGCTACTGGCATTAATCAGTGGAGGCCAGGCTGTCAGGACAAGACAGCTCCCACATCAGAATGACCTAGACAGAACATCCGGAAACCCTGTGCCAAGGTCATGTCGGGTAACGGATGCAAGGAACCAACAGAAGGAGTGTGGGGACGTGCTTTGGCTGCTGTGCAAGGGCATCATGCATTAGCTAGAAGCCCAGCGGGAATTCTGGGGTGCCGAGGCCACCCACGGTCACGACTGTGGACGCCAGGAGCAGACCCAGGGGTGGCCTGCGCCCCTGCTTGTTGAGGTCTCTGCGGTGGTGGCATCAACCCTGGCTGCACTTTGAAGGGGGTCTCAGAAGAGTGGCATGGAACTGTGTGGGCAAAGTGCCCAGAATGGTGAACGCTCTGGAAGCAACATCGGGGGGCAGGGGGGAGGACACTGAGGTGCCAGCAGAGGGAAGATCATCTGGGGAGGCAGAAGTACCTGCATGTCCTGTCAGCAGATGGGGGGCTGGGCAGGAGGAAGAGAGGCCAGAGGTCGGGCACACAGGTCCCCCCAACGCGGGAGCAGTGATCCAGGAGGAGTCTGGCCTGTCCTCTGGGTTCTCTGGCCCTGGCTCGGTGCTGTCTGCCTGGTGAAGTGGCTGCATGGTGGGGGTCATGCGTTCACTGCAGAAACTCTAAAAGAAAGAGAGATGGGTATGCTTCCCTCTAACAGGCATTCTGAGAGCACCTAAGAAGCCCCGGAGTGCTGGGGGACCTGGGGAGCTCCCGTCTTAGAGTGGGAAGAGCTGGCTCCTGGGGAAGGCGATGATGGAAATAAACTGTTTTATGAGATAAAGATGAATGGGGGCATGTCGTCAGCTTACACCTCTCTGGGAGGTGGCCTGAGCGGAGACCACAGGCCTGAGGAGGGATGAGCAGTGGCCGGCAACCGGGAAGGTCTCTGCCCGTGAGGACAGGAAGGAAGGGTGGATGGCCAACGTGGGCAAGGTGAGAAGCGGCTCAGACTGAACCAAGTAGGGTTTGGGATGGCACAGGGAGGTGACCTGCCCACATTCCCCCACCTGCCGTGTAGGGAGCAGACCATTTGGAGGGCAGGTGGCAGGAGGAACTGGTAAGACCCTGCAACATGTGCTACCAGGGTGATGATGGGAGATGGTGAGAAGCTGTGGCTGTGGGACATATTTAGAGGAGAACTGAGGAGAGATCCCCGGAGGTCCCTGGTCCACCCTCCAGCACGGAGCTCACTGCTTCCTAAAGGAAAGGACTCCCCGGGGAGTGAGCAGGCTGGCCCCCACCTCCGTGGGGCTGTGCGCTGTGACAGGGAGGGCTCTGGAGACTCCAGGGTCTTGTCCTCAGCTGCTGTTTAAGGTCGGTGTCATTTCCCCGGTTAGGGCCGGCCGAGGGAGGGATGCACCTGAGCAACCAAAGCCCCCTCAGGGGCCCTCGAAAGCTGAGCTGTGTGTTGGACGTGCAGGTGGAAATATCAGGGGCACAGTGTTCAGGTCAGCAGCTCAGTGGGCGCAAGTGAGTGTGCAAGTGCTGGGCCTGCTGGTAGCAGGGGTGGGGGTGGGGGTGCATGTGCAGGGGGAAGATGAGGCCGGAGACCCAGCCCCAGCACCCAATGGGTGCAGAGTAAGTGAAGGAAGGAGCCACGGAAGCTGGGGTCTGCAAAGGAGAGAGATGGACCCAGGGAAGCGCAGGGGCTGGGCTCCGTCCAGGGCTTCCGGAGGTCGATCCAGGTGAGGCGAGTCAACGGGCAGCGCGTGCGGGTCTTGGATGCAGGTCCAGCGAGGGGCATGGCAGCCACCTTGTTGACCCTGGGGGCCACATTCTGATGGCACAATGCATTCTGCGTTTTGACGGAGCCCACGTGACGTGCAGCACGGGTCCGCAGGCAGATAAGCTGGATGTGCATGCGGGGAGTGGGGCCCTGAGAGCTCCACAGCACTGGCGGAGTGCCAGGGGCCTCTCTGACAGGGGGCAGTGGCCCAAGAGGGGAGACCAGTGCCATAGATGGGGGTGCCTCGAGGGAAAAAGCACTGGAAGAGAAATACTGCTCCTTCCCAGAGAGGTCTTGTTGTTAATGGCACCCTCGGACGTACGTGCAAGTGTAGACAGGATATAGCAAAGCAAACCTGGCTGAGACAGGAACTACTAGAACCCCGACGAGAAAAAACTTATGATTTTAGTCAAATGCAAAAAACAAAAAAAGAAAGAAAGAAAGAAAGAAAGAAAGAAAGAAAGCCAGAAAATTGTTTATATCATTACATTATAATAAACCTGATTTTTTTTGGGTGGGGCTCACTCAGGAGAACAGATTTGCAGTATTGGCTGGAGAAAGTCATTACCTGTGTCTGGCAGGTATTCTTGTGTTTGATCACTGCTTGTCGGGAAATCTGTGTGGTGGAGACACTGTTTTCACATGGCCGTGTGCGTGTCTGTGGTGTGTGTTCTGTGCACGTCCGAGTGTAACACAGAAGGGTGTGCGCTTTCCTCCCTAGGTGTACAGACGGGGTTACCCAGGTAATTTTCCATTGGTGACCAGCCCCTTTTGGTTAAAATATAGGCTTCTTTGGATATTTTTTGGATAATGGCATATTCCGTTCTCATCTACAAGCACAACTGAGGGAACACGCCCTCCCGGTTACAGATGCAGCCGCTTCCTCCATGCCACTCTTCTGAAGAGCACACGTCCTTGTTGTGCGAGGAGCAGCTTCTCTGGGACAGGTGTCCTCATGAGATGCAGAACCCACGCTGGTTCTATAATATCAGCCACGCACATGGTGCATGGTGGGTCCAGGAAGTGGTCTGCAGAAGGACAGGGAAGGGACAGCCGGCCGCCCAAGGCCAGAGGCACCTGCGGAGAGGCTGTGCCTCTTCATCCTCGGGGTGTGGGCTTGCAGTCCTGCTCCTGAAACCCCCTCACCCCCTAACCCACCCAGACGGGCATGCATGGGCTGTGGTGCCAGCCATCCCAGTCTTACACAGTATGTGAACACGGCTAGTGCCTGGGCTGTCTGGTGAGGGCCTACCAGACGAGACCCACTCGAAGGCCAGCGTCCAGGTACAATAGTTGGGGAACATCTTTGCTGCCCATGGCCAGCCATGCATGTCTGTGACGGCTGTCTCCATCTCCCAAGGCCGCTGGACCAGGCTCTCCTGGGGTCTGCGCTATGCACCTGCCAGCCAGCGGGCCAGCGTGCAGGCCATCTTCCCATGGGACTTCCCTTTGTGATGTGTCTTTTAGAATTATCTGTCCCTACCAAGAAAAAAAAGAGGTTAACCTGGTCACATTTGTCTACTGCTCTGTATTGGAGCTTGATACTAAGAGGGCGTGTTTGGAAATTGATTCTGTGCAAAACATGGAAGGATGGGAAGGACCTGGTTCCACCGCCAGGTCCCAAGAGAGAAGAGCTTCCTGTCGGGAGGACCTGGCCCGGGTCAGCAGTTGAGCAACCTGACCTTGCTGCTCAGGTCCTGACCAATGTCCCATCTTTTTCTCTTCTCTTCTCTTCTCTTCTCTTCTCTTCTCTTCTCTTCTCTTCTCTTCTCTTCTCTTCTCTTCTCTTTTTTTTCTTTTCTGTTTTTTTCTTTTTCTTTCTTCTTCTTCTTTTTTTTTTTTTTTTGCCAGGAAGACCTCCACGTGTGCCCTCGGCCCCTGACGGGGAGGTGCAGGCATGGCGGGAAGCATGGCAGACAGCGCCAACCACCTGCCGTTCTTCTTCGGCAACATCACCCGGGAGGAAGCGGAGGACTACCTGGTCCAGGGCGGCATGAGCGACGGGCTGTACCTGCTGCGCCAGAGCCGCAACTACCTGGGCGGCTTCGCGCTGTCGGTGGCGCACGGGAGGAAGGCGCACCACTACACCATCGAGCGCGAGATGAACGGCACCTACGCCATCGCGGGCGGCAGGACGCACGGCAGCCCGGCCGAGCTGTGCCACTACCACTCCCAGGAGTCCGACGGCCTCGTCTGCCTCCTCAAGCAGCCCTTCCACCGGCCGCCCGGGGTGCAGCCCAAGACCGGCCCGTTCGAGGATCTGAAGGAGAGCCTCATCAGGGAGTACGTGAAGCAGACCTGGAACCTGCAGGTGCGCCTGGGGCTGCGAGAGGACGGTCCCCCTTCCTGGGGGCGGTCACTTCAGAGAGGGCAGCCTGGCCTGTGGTGATGCGGCTCACACGGGGGGACCTCCTGACAGGCATCCCAGGTGTCAGCTGCTTTTATGTACCTGAAGGGGGGCACGTGGTACGTGCTGATGGGCTCCTGATTCTGTAGCTTCTTCCTACCACATCTCCGTTAGAACATTCTGGGTGAGCGTGCACGTGGCTGCAGCAGCCTGTGGCTGGCTGACCGCCTGGTGTTCCCTCCCACGCCCTGGAGCGCACCTCCCTGGTGCCCAGGGACCGGCACTTAGTGCCTCCAGGAACTTCCCTCAGCCCATCATTTGCAGCCCCCGGGCACGAGGACCCCCAGCACGGTGGGCCAGCCCCAGGGAAGGCACAGGTATTGAATTAGCACAGACTGACAAGTCGTCCCCTGGAAGGGCCCCGGATGGTGAGGCAGCTCGGCTCACCGCTTGGACCTGTGTGTGCACATATTTCTCTTGCACTTCCCTGTGTTGGTGGTGCTAATGCACGCGGTGTGAGATGGGATAGGTGCTTGGAGGGTTCTGCACAGTGACTGCTTTCCCTCCGTGAGTGGGGTCGACACGAATTCATGCTTGCAGGCAGGTTAGCAGGACTCTGGTCAGGAGTTGTCATTAGCATTTATTAGATATGCCTGAGACCATCTTTTTTACGTTTTTCGAAGTCAGACAGATCTGATTTATGGAGTTGTAACCTATACACAGTGATGTTAAGCTTTTAGGGGTACAGTTCTATGATTTTTGACCAACACAGGGCCCCATGTAGGTCCCACCGCAATCAAGATGAGCTGCTCCCAGCCCAGCTCCCAGCAGCCTCCCTTTGGTCCCAGAGTGATTGTCTTTTCCAGAACATTCTATAGGAAGGGACTCACAGGCCTGTAGCATTTTGGGCTGCCTTCTTCCCCTCCGCACAATGATGCATTTGCGACTCAGAGCCAAGTAGCATCCCGCTCCTTTCCCTTTGACTGGCTTTGTTCTGGCTGCCGCTCTGGGTCGCACCTGTCACGATTTCTGTGTCTCGAGCCACCTGTAGCAGGACAGATTTTCCATCTCCAGCTCCTCCCTGTCCTCCCTCCTCCCTTCCTGCCCCTAGATTGGGTTCCTTATAATGTTTACCTCCTCTTGTCCTCATCGTAACTTCCAAGGATCCAACGTGGGGTCTTCTTTCACAGCTGCGGGGGGTACCTCACTCTCTCCACTCCCTAAGCACGGTTGGGAAGGGAGGTCACCCAGCTGTCAGCCCCCGCCCCATGTGTTTTCCACATCATCCGTGTCCTGTGGCGACATCTTCTGCAGTGTGAGGGCTTGGAGGAGGCCTTGGCGGGCAGCCGGGAAAGCCATGTGTACTTTGTGGCACATGTCCTGGGGCTTCTGAGTGGTTGGAGGGGTGGGGCTGTGATGCAGAGCCATCAATTCGTGCAGGACTGCCATCCCTCTGGACCTCGGGGATGGTGCCAGATGGTTTCTAAAGCCCTGTTTGGCTTAAAAAGGCCAACCTCCAGGGATGCCTGGGTGGCTCAGTGGTTTAGTGCCTGCCTTTGGCCCAGGGCATGATCCTGGAGTCTCGGGATCGAGTCCCATGTCAGGCTCCCTGCATGGAGCCTGCTTCTCCCTCTGCCTGTGTCTCTGCCTCTGTGTGTGTGTGTGTGTGTGTGTGTGTGTGTGTCTCATGAATAAGTAATAAAATCTCAAAAAAAAAAAAAAAAAACAAGGCCAACCTCCCCAAATCTACATTGTGACTTATACACTCGAAGGTACTTAAATCACATCTAAGAATCTTACTGGTTTTATTCAGAAAATGAATGAATTACCACTGTCAGGACTTGGGACAGATTTGAAATGATTTCTGTGTCTTTCTTTTTTTCATTTTTACCTAGTACCACTCTATTTCCTTCTCGTGGCAGGGTCAGGCTCTGGAGCAGGCCATTATCAGCCAGAAACCTCAGCTGGAGAAGTTGATCGCCACCACGGCCCACGAAAAAATGCCCTGGTTCCACGGGAAGATTTCACGAGTTGAATCTGAGCAAATTGTCATGATAGGCTCCAAGACAAATGGAAAATTTTTGTAAGTATGGTGTGTTTTCCATTCAGCTCCTATGGCCGGGCCCACTCGGACAGCTGGGGCATCTCAGCTTCCCCATTGCTGGAGCCTGGGGAAGACGCGGGCCCACTGAAAAGACGTTCCCAAAGCCATCCCTTATAACTCAGCATCCGTTTTACCCAATCCTACCCCAAAGGAGACACTCTTCTTGGGTCCTGAGGGACATAACATGGAAAGAAACGTTACTCCGCCACATATTTTGCTTTTCGTGGCAAATAGAGGATGTGTAATGATATCTGTGGCTGTCCCTCTGAAGTAAAAGCACTGCGGTGGCTCGTTCACTCACAGACCCCCACCCCGAGATCTCAGACCTGACTTCTCTGGTGTCACTTGGAACTAAATGCCAGTCAGGTAGATACCAAAGAAAATTTGCTGAGGGTTTGAGTGGTTTCCTGTGATGGCTTTGATCACAGGCAGGTTTGTGGACTTCGGCCTTACAAATTCAGAAATGAGGTGTGCATCCCTAGCTGTGTTCGTTATTACCCTAGTGACTGATGGACCTCGGTGCTCGAGGTCCTGGGGACACAGGCCACCTCGGGGTGGGGCCAGCAGTGGAGGATGGTTTGCGGCTGTCTTAGACAGGTGAGGTGGTAAGCCAGCACGGGGGTATGGCTGGCAGGGGCACATTCACCTGGTGAATTCCACAGGTGCTAGCTGGGTGCCCCAGGGGATGGTCATCACATTCTTGTCTTGGACACTTATAAGCAACACTTACCTCCTTGGTCAGGCATGTGGAGTCACACAAAGTAGACTGTAAACTCTTCTAAAAACAGGAGTGTTTTTTGCTGAGTACATCCACGAAAAGAATGTCTATCAGGCTCTACTGTAATATCTTTTATTTGAAAAAAATTATCTTAAACACAATACTCTTCATTTAAGAGTAAAACAAGAACAGAGTAGCCTGCGTTGGCACACAGTGGGAGCGGGGATGGCGATTTAGTGGGTGCAGTGGCAGCCTCCAGCAGAAATCCTGCAGGGGAGGCTTTTTTCCTTGTGTGGCACCTGTTTGCTTATTTTTCCCTGAGGTTCAGACTTTTACCATCTTCTAAGGAATAATTTCCAGCACAAATGTCATGAAACTGTCCACTTAGCATCCCGATGTGTGACGTCAGCCCCAAGCGATGTAATACAAAAAGTGAGCTGGTTCAGACACCTGCTCCCAGGCTTACTGGGGAACCACTGTGCTCAGAGACGGCTGCCCACTCCCCACTCACACAGGGGGCCCTAGGACAGCCGAGGGCTCAGCCAGCTGCTGGTTCCTTCCCCGGCAGTGTTCTCACGCCCCATCCATGCTTCCCCGCAGAAGGTCTTTCCTGCCTACTTTCCAGTCATTGGAGCTGGCTTCCCCGTCCGTGAGCCAGCATCCTCTAGAATCCACATTGCAGTGACTGCCAGCACCGTTCTGCAGGTTAGAGATGGAGCCACACAACCGTCCGCCTCCTGAGCCCAGCATCTTGGGAGAAATGGACACTGAACAATTGAACAGAAACCGTATAGTAGGTTAGAGCACAAAAGTAAAGGGATAGAGCACTCTGGGATGGGGATATAGGGTTCTGTTTTATGCTGAGACAAGGGGCCTTGCTTCGAGCAGAGACCTGAAGGCAGTGGGGAGCTGCCGTCAAGGAAGTAGCATGTGCCCTGGGCGGGGCCGGGCCTCAGAGGGCCGGTGGGCACTAGAAGCATCAGTCGGTGCATCTTTGGGAAAGAGTTAGAGCAGTCAGCTGAACCCGTCTGGCTGGCCAGTGGGACCCGTCTGGCTGGCCAGTGGGACCTGTCTGGCTGGCCAGTGCAGACGTGCAGGAGTAAGCACACTTAGAGGCCACATGGTGCATGTTCATGCTTGAACCCAAGTGTGATGTGAGTTTTTCTGCAGATTTCAGGGCCTCTCTGCCTTCTCATGTCTGAGCACAGGCACTGTGTGTGGGGCTTGTTGGAAGACAGTGGTGCGGTGGCTGTGAGGCCCTGCTTCATGGCTCTGCACTGTGCCCTGTGCACCTGGCTGTGATCAGGGCCAGAGCTCTTCCCTGTAGACGTGCCCTCGGTGTGAGCACGGCTCCCCTGTGTCCTCTGGTGTCCCTGGCATGAGTTTCAGTGAGAAGGAAGGCAGAATTTCAGGTGGGGATGGCCATGTGGGATGCTGTACTTGATGAACGGGCCTCGCATCTACCCTGTTTCCCCATGTTTACGGTTCCTTTTTTGACCTCGTCTTGCGGCTTGATTTTCCCCACATGAGGCTGACCTCACTCTGCATTGTTGGTTTCCTACACTGGTCTGTTCCCAGCCCTTCTAGGGCATAGTCTGGCTGCAGTCAGAGGCCTGCTGCATGCTCCCCACTGCCTCGCTCAGGGCACTTGTTTCCAGCATGACCCTGTCTGAGACTTGCCACAGCCAGCCTGCCCTCCCTGGGGCCTCCCAGAGCACCTGGCAAAATGAGAAGAACCAAGGAGGCTCTCAGATCCAGAACCAAAACCTAATTTTTGTGACTCTTAATACTGGACATCCACAAACTTGATTTAATGCATGTCAGCGTGTGGTGCATCATGTCTAGCTCTTTGCAGAATGCTAATAAATGCAGATCTTCCTCAACATATGTTGGGGTTATGTCCCGATAAACCCTTTGTAGGTGGAAAATATCATAAGTCCAAAATACATTAATACACCTACCCTACTGAACAAACACCACAGCTGAGCTGAGCCTGCCGTAAATGTGCTCAGAACCCTTCACAGGAGCATGGAGTTGGGCTAAATCATCATACAAAGCATATCTGATAGTCAAGTGTGGACTGTCTCATGCAATGTATGAAATGCTGTGTGGAAAATGATGCACAGAATGGTTATCAGTGTGTTGGTTGTTGCCTGGCGGCTATGGCTATCCATCCCAAGGTCACACAGAGGACTGTACCGCATACCACCAGCCCAGGAAAAGATCTACACCCAAAATCCGAAGTATGGTTTCTCCTGAATTACTATCACTTTCTCTCCATCGCCATAAAGCTGAAGAATCACAAATCGAACCGTCTTGAATTGGGGACTGTGTTTACAGGCTGGTTTGGGGTCTTGAAAGAACACAGACTGTTGAGGCCAAAGGACACCCTTGGGCAACACTGAATGTTTGCAGTTTCCACTTAGATAACAACATGGACAGTCAAATGAGGAAGTGCAAGAGTTCGTCCTAGAACCTCTATTTTACATTATGGTTCAATGTGACAAGAACCCTCTCTTGGGAAAACACACACTCCTGTGACCCATAGAAGACACGGATGAAAAGTCAGCATGTTTTAAAAAGTGTGAGGCCTGCATGAGGCAGTGGATCTTCATGGGAACAGCTCAAGACGCAGGATATAAATCCCAGAAACTCCTCACCTCCAGGCTGAGGCATATCTGGGGGATGCTGGCCACCTCAGGACCAGTCTTTTCTCCTCATGAATTTGTGCAATGGCAGAAGACTTGAGTCGGAAGGCACCTTACTGCTCATGGGTATAAGTCCTTGATTTTCTGAAGAGGAGCTTAGACACAAGGGAGTTTGCCTAGGGTTGTCAGGGAAGTAGGAGATGAGAGCCCAACCAAGGGCTCTGACAGATGGGTCTGGACTGAGACAAATGCCCAAACTACCAGCAGCTCCCTCCCACACCCAGTCCCCATGAAAAGCATGGCACCAGGGCATGTCTACAGGAAATGTCAACTTTCCTGTGTCCTGTCTCCTGTCCACACAGAATGCTGGGACCACTCAGGGGTTACTTTGGGAAAATAGGTGTTGGGGTCTTTGCACCATACTTGAAGAATAAAGGGTGTAGGCTTGAAGGCTCTTTACTGCAAAGATGGGCCATGTGGGTCTACTGACCCTCTCGTGAAGTCATCTGTGGTGTTTCTAGAGATGATTATTCATCACCTGCTGCTATAGGCTGAACATTCTCCCCAAATTCAAATGGTAAACCCGAGCCAGTGTAGCAGCACTTGGAGGTGGGCTTTTGAAGGTGGGTGGGGTTAGAGGAGGTCATGAGGTGGCCTATGAAGGGTTAGTGTCCTCTTAGGAAGAGGAGAATAGAGGGCCTGATGCGTACACATGCCAGGGCATGGCCCTATGAGTGCACAACCAGACAGTAGCACCAACCAGCCAGGGAGCACGCTCTCACCAGACACTGAATCGATCACACCTTGACCTTAGACTTCTGGCCTCCAGAGCTGTGAGATGCCAGTGCTTAAGCGGGTGTTCTAAGACACCTGTGCGTGTCTGGGGTCTGCCTGGCCAGACGTGCGAACAGAGATGCCCCACATTCCCCGTCATGGGCCTGCAGATAGGGGTCAGGGCTCTGCCTTCCTGGTGACACCAGGGACCAGGAGGCTGCAGGCCCTTGGCTCTCTGAAACCCCCCACAACAACATGGTTTGCTGCTTTGAGAAATTAGTCACAGCTCGAGTATGACTGAAAAATGAATTTGTGAAAAAATGTAAACAACTTACTTTCCAAAAATGACGTATCCCCCACTCCCAAAGGAAGGACCCGGGATTGGTGGGGTCCAAAGCATACACAGTTTGGAGACCTGCTTTAAAAAAAAATAAAAATAAAATTAGGTACAAAGTATATTTTTTAGAATTAGAAAAAATGCAATAAATGATAGTCTTTTTAAGCTGGAAATATAGCAAACATACAGAATTTAGAAAACACTAATGTAATTTTTTTTTTGTAATTTTTGATCTAACCACCCAACACATCTCAGTAGTACCTTTTATTTTCTACATTTTTCGACAGTGTAACATTTGACTGCCCCTTCCATGGACAAAAATGCAATACTGTTATTTCCTACATATGCAGAAAACACAGTCCTTCCTCTGAGTGGACAACTCATTAGTAGCAATGCAGGCACATCTGCAAGATCATTGTCAACCTCAGGGTAGGAAGTCGAAATGGAGGAAAGAGTGGTCTTCTGTGGTTGTGATTAAGTGTCTTTCACAAATCATAAGGAA